CCCTTCTCTCTCACATTGGGATCCCCCCTTCACAATACAGGCACTCTGTGTGCCTCGCTCTACACAACATTCTACCTGCATCTGGACCGTATTGTTGCCCTTGACATTTAGATTGATACAATCAGGTTCCAGATACGTGCAGAATGTTGCGTTGTGGAGCAACTCTCTCTCTCTCTCTCTCTCTCTCTCTCTCTCTCTCTCTCTCTCTCTCTCTCTCTCTCTCTCTCTCTGTGTGCATGTATGTGCACACGTCGGCAGTGCGATGAAGAACATACCTTGTATCCTGTCAGAGGTCCCCTCTAGTTTGCACAAACCGTTCTCTCTCTGTCACGGATCAATCTGGATGACCAGCCAGCTTTCTGTCTCTTACTCCTCTTTGCCTCTGAGGAGAGAGAGCACATCTGTGTGCCCCCTTTCCAAACACTTCGAATGAAAACTGTCTATGGTGTGCATCTCGTGAATCCCAAAACAGTCTTTCGCAGCCCTTCTTGTCTACGTGCCGAGGGAAAAGGAACCACAACGACGCTCCCCAAAATGGATATGGAGCCTGGGCCACAAGGACCTGTTTTTGGGAAAAAGAAAAAGTACGATTTCTTCCAATCAATTGTGAGCGTGTGAAAGGTGTTGGAATTGCATGGAGTCTTGCTGTATCGTAACATGCTCTGCCAAGAGGGAGATATAGCGAAGCAATCTGGAGGAGGAGCTTAGGATACAAGGAGAAGACGTCCCTGGCTATGAAGATGAAGGTCTGGCTAGGGTAGCTATACTTAGTGCCCACATCGGCATGTAGAAGAGATGGAGGACATCAGATGAGTGAGAGTCAGAAGAAGATGAGGGAAACTATAATGAAGACTCCTTTGGCCATGGAGGGTTTCCATCTTCAGTCCAAACCGTGGCACTGCACCAAGAAAACCCCTTTAGGGTTCGTTTGAGTTCAGGCTTCACCCACGAATATGGCACTGCTGTTCTTGATGAAGGCAGCAATGATCTTTATGTCGTCTTTTGTGATAAATTTGTGCATCGCGCTTGAGTGATATTGTCGCCTTGTGGACATCGCAGTGCTACAAGGAGGTTCGGAGGGAAATCAGCTGGAGGGAGTTCATTCTCCACAGCATCTGCTAGGGAGGTGACTAGGGCATTGTTTCATTCGTCATTCTGTATTCTTTGCTAAGAAACGAAATGCAATGAAAAGAGGAGCTTCTTCTTCTTCTTCTCCTCCTTGGTGATGATGATGATGATGGCGGCAAGACGAAGGGGAAGAAGAATACTGAGCTTCTTCTATTTCTTCTTCATGAAGGTGATGGCAGAAAGAAGAAGGGAAAGGAATACTGAGCTGCTTCTTCTCCTCCTCCTCCTCCTCCTCCTCTTTCTTCTCGTCTTCTGCTCGCTCATTTCTTCATTTCTCTGTGTCATGGTGGTTGTCGTTATCTCAAATTTGAGTCTTGAAGCATGATTGCACAATGAGCATAACACAAGGGTCAGCTTTAGTGATGGTTTATCCTCTGCATTCACATTCCTTTGCGAGTTCCAAGTCCTGCCTCAGCTACCGTGCCTAAGGCTGCAAATTGTAGTAGAAAGCAGTCATTGATGGTGATCAGCAGTTCATAGGTGGTGGTATTTTGCATCATATACCATCCTGCACACATCATGTGACACATGATACTCTGTGCAGATAACTGGCTATTGCTGATGAGCGGAAAAAGAAATTTGAGCCCTCAAAAGTGCAACTTCTACTGACATAAAAATAGATCTCAAGCCAGATTGCACCCCAGTACACAGATCGACACACTCAATTTCCTCGTACCTCCAGTCTGTACAGTTCTTCTAGGCCACGAGTGCACGTCAAAGCATTGCTGCGCAGAACAACTTTGGTCACATTGAATAATGTCTTCGCCATCTTCAGCACCTCGATGCCCCCCCCATTCCCAATCCCAACCCCAATCATTCAGAGCGAACAACAAATAAGGTAAGGAGCACTGAATTACCATATGAAAAGAAGAAAAACACACAGATTTTGGTGCTCTACATCCAGCAACCCAAATTCAGGCTTCCAGTTCAGGCCCGAGCCAACCAAATTTGTGGCTATGCAAATGCAGGCTGCGGAAAGGTTCAGGCCTGCTGGACCCCGTGAGGATACCTACAGGCACAAAAAAATTCGAGTGCCCCAAATTTATTGATTTCTTGAAAGAGAAACGGAAGGAAAAAACAAAAGGTCCTTATAGTCCTGACTCCTTTCCATCCTGGGGAAAAAGTTCAAAAAAAACAGACTGGTCCCTATTCCACTGGCGAGTCAATAAATAAAACGAGAAACGACAACCACGCTTCTGCATGGGTCCTGGGGACCAACTCACGCAGATGTGCAT